AGAGTGAATTGGGGGGATGGGATGGGTAGGGAGAAAAGTGCAACAATGAATGACTGGAAACCCTAAGTCTCTGTAAACTTTCAGTAAAATTAATTTAAAAAAATGTTTTGTAATGGTAAGGACTTGATGCTCCTGACCCAAGGACTTGAGGCGCCATAGGACAAAGATGGGCAAATTCCTTCTTTGTGACTTACATTCTCTGAAAACTGACTGGAGGGTCAGTTATAAGTCGGTTCAGACTTGACAGCACCTAACAATACCAATATATGCTTAACTATCCATAATTAGAAGTTTGTACTCTGTAAAACATAGACATCTCATTTTCCTCCGAAACTCAAAAGAGTTCTTGCTAACTATTTACTTGCAGAAAGACTGCTCTGCTACAGAGACAGTGACTAGAATTATTAAAAGTAAAATTAATTAGTGACACATCTCAGAAGATTTTGTGAGTTTCATGTAGCATTTTAAGATATAATCTTGTCAAATCCATGCCCAGCTTATGTGTTAAAAAAATTATGCTTCTTAATAAATGTTCAAAAAGTAAAACAAACAAACAAACAAGAAAAGCACCCCTAAAAATAAAAACTGGACATCTACCTACAGAACACTGAAACAGAAGTCACATCTCATTCCATATATAAAAACCAACTCAACTTAGAGGCCTAGGAATTAAACAAAAAACCTCCATAAAAATCATCAGAGAAAAAATGGGAAAAATTAATAAGCCCAAGTCAAGAGCATGAATCTGCTTACAAAAAGCCAGAAATACACAACCAAGAAAGAATAAAATAGACGAATGGTATCTTCTAAAAATCAAATCCCTGTGCAATCTAAAAGCTTTCCCTAAAGGGTAAAAAGAAAGCCTAAGACTGGGAAAAATATTTGGTAAAGACATTTCAGACAAGGAGCTCATAATTAAAATTTACAGAAAACTGCAGAGCCTCCACAAGAAAAAGACTAACAACGCAACTACAAAATGAACAAAAGACATGAGAAGACTTTTCACAAAGGAGTGCATTCAGATGGCCAACAAATACATGAGGAAATGTTTATGATTACTAGCAATCAGAGAGACTGCAAAGCTAAGCAACAATGAGATACTATCTCACCCCAGAAGCAATAGTAAAGTTTCATGGGACAATAAATAATAAATGCTGGCACAATATTGGAATGCTCATGAACCACTTTTGGGATTGTAAAATGGTATAGCCATTCTGGAGCGCAATGAGGCATTTCCTTAAAAAGTTGAATACAGAAATCCCATATGACCCAGCTATTCCACCAGGAATGTACCCCAAAGAAACCAGAGATGAAGCACAAATGGAGATATGTATACCTATGTCCCTCACAGCATTATTCACAATAGCAAGAAAATGGAAATAGCCCAACTGCTTATAAAAAACCGAATGGATAGAGAAATTGTGGTACATCTACACAATGGAATACTATCCATCAATAAAGAACAATAAAGAAATTATAAAACAGTACACAATATGGGTAACTCTAAAGGACATTATCTGCTGAGTGAAAAAACCCTCAGTCATAAAAGGACATATACTGCATAGGAGGGTAACTGGAGGGTGGGAGGGACAAGGGAAGCAGAAATAGAATGTACAATGAGCACTGTAAAGAATCTGGACAAGGGAGGATCAACCTGGGAGAACTGACACAGGACAATATGGCTATTGGAATTAGCAAACAGGAACAGGATATATATAACTATTGGAAAGTGGAGGGGGAAAAGGATAACAGGGCAGAAGAAAGGAAAGGGGGAAAACCCACTAGGGCATCAGAGATGAGTGGATGAATGGTAGTGCAGTGAAGGAGTAGACATATTTGATGAAACAAGATGAAAAAAGGCATTGATCAACAGTAATTAATTAAAGCATAATGCATATAAATGACTAGAAAACACAACGTACATGAATGAAATATAATGTATATAATTTTTTTAAAAAAACAAAAACACAATTACTGTGAATCCTCAATAACTGATTGTTGTTGTTGTTGTTATGTGCCGTCGAGTCGCCTGCGACTCATAGTGACCCTATGTACAACTGCCCTAAACTCCGCTCTGTCCTGTGCCAATCGCACTGTCTCTGACACTCCCATCCCAATTATCCCAGTCACTGAATCAATCCACCTCATAGAGGGCCTTCCTCTCCTGCGCCGTCCCTCTACCCTCCCAAGCATGATGTCCCTCTCTAAGGACTGGTCTCTCCTCACTACATGTCCAAAGTAAGTTAGACGGAGCCTCAGAATCCTTGCCTCCAAGGAGCCACCCAGCTTAACCCTTTCCAGGACAAATCTATTTGTTTTCCTAGCAGTCCATGGTATTCTCAATACTCTTCTCCAGCACCACAGCTCAAAGGCATCAATTCTCCTTTTATCCTCCTTGGTCATTGTCCAACTCTCTGATGCATAACAGGTGATTGCGAAGACCATGGCCTGTATCAGACGCACCTTAGTCTCCAGAGGAGACACCACTGCTCTTCAGCACTGAGATATGTTAAAATCTTCCATTATGATTGTAAATGGCCTATTTTACCTTGCTATACTGCCAAATTTTGCTTTATCTATCTTGAGCCACGTTAGTAGGGATGGTTGTTGACTCATAGCGACCCTGTGAATGAAAGACCTGAACACTTGTATAACTTTTATCCTTTCTCCAGGTTCGTAGGATTTCCAGAGGGGTACACAAATTTAAAACATTTTTTTCTTTATCACACAGACATTTATTCTCGTATGGTTTAGGAAGACAGAAGTTAAAATTCAGGATTCTGGATCTAGGGGAAGGCTTTCTCAGAGTTTCTGGTCCTGGGAGTTCTGAGTGTAGGGACTCAGTCTAGGGGATGCTCTCAGCTTTTCCTTGGTGTACCCAACTCAATCCAACTTACTACTGCCCTTAAGTCAACTGCAATTCATAGCAACCCTCCAATGGGTGTACGAGGCTGGAGGAGACTGCCTATCATTCTCACACGAAGCTGGCAATCACCAACATTTTGCTCAGCAGCCTGAGGAGAGTTATGTACTACACCACTAGGACTCCTCTTCTCTCTGCTTGCTTCTCCTCCCTCTTATCTCTTGTACAATAAAAAGTAATACAGGCTACCCATCCTTCTCCCTCAGTAACTAGCTCAAACCACTGGTTACTTAGCCCTTTGGTTAGCATGTTAGTACAGGTAAATCAGAAATACAGGTAAATCAGTGGCTGGTGTTTATCATCTTCCAGTCAGAACAAAGTCAATAGCTGACCCTTCAGCTGGTGTTCAGAGGCTGAAAATGCAAAGGAGATTGTGTGTTATCCTCACGTAAACCAGCCAGTGGATTCAAACCTCCTGTCCTTTGATTGGAAGCAGCATTTCTTACATACAAGAACCCCTAGATCAGTGACGAGAAGTGGGCAAACTAGCAATTTTGGTCCACTAGCAGAGAAGAGAGTGAGATTGTTAGAAATTTCAGCTTGCTTGGTTCCACAATCAATACTCTTGGCACCGGCAGTCAGGAAATCAAAATTGCATTGGGAAAATCTGCTGTCAGGGACCTTTGCAGAGTTTTGAAGAACAATGGTGTCAGTCTATTGACTGAGGTGTGCCTAATCCAGGCCATGGTCTTCGCAATTGCTATGCATCAGAGAGTTGGACAACGACTAAGAATGATAGAAGAATTGATGACTTTGAGTTGTGGTGCAGGAGAAGAGTATTGAACACACCATGGACTGTCAAGAGAACAAACAGGTGAAAAGGTAAAACCAAGCTGTTCCTTGGAAGTGAGGATTTTGATGTTCTGTCTCATATACTTTAGGCATGTTGCTAGGAGGGACCAGTCCTTGGAGAAGGACATCAAGCCTGGAAGGGTGGAATGACATTGCAGGAAACGTAGAGCCTGGATGAGATGGATTGACACAGTAACTGGATTAATGAGGGTAGATGTGTAAAGAGACACTGCGATTGGCTCAGGATAGGGCAGACTTCAGAGCTAGCATACATAGGGTTGCTATGAGTCGCAAATGCCTCAAGGGTACATCACAACAGCAGGAGGCCTGTTTCTTGTGTATAAAAAGTATTGGAACAAGAGCTGAGATTAGAGTGAGGTGAGTGAGGCAGACCTGTACTTTTAGTGCAGGGTGGGTTCTTGTTTACTTTAAATGTTGACACTATTCATCATGGTTTCCCTACCTCCCACTTCTTTTCATTAGATTGGATTAAAATATTGTATTCAAGTGTTTAAGTTATTTACTATCTTGACATAGTTCTTGTTGTCTTATTATGGGATTTGAATGACATGAAGAATACTTTGGACTGTGACCTACACCATGGTAAACTGCAAGACTGGATCAGATCAGTGTTTTCAGTTTGTTTCTCACCTTTAAACCCATTCCTGCACTTAGAGCCTCTTGAATTCACATTTCTTTTGAAAATCTACAACTTTGTATCCCAGCCCCTTTGTCTGCCCACAAAGTACAGTAGTTTCCCTCTACCTTTATTTCCATGTGAAAGCCCCAAAGGGGATGCATCAATTACTCAGCCTTTCTGGGGTGCAACCTCTTAAAACTGTATTTTTTTAAGAAATGAACCTTTTACCTATGCAAAAGGCCCTCTTTTGTCTTTAGTAGGTTCCCCCCACCATTTAGTTTTAATGTCTGTAATATATTTATACAGCTTTCTTTGTTATTCACAAACAAAAAAGTAGGAATATTTGTACATATAAATCTTGCAGGATGATTCTGCAAGTATACATGATCAAGTATAGCAGAACATGAAATCTCTTGATAGGCAATTGCTGGGTAGGTTATACAGAACTTAAATTTGATCAGCAATGACTGCATCTGTCCAAGAGGCTGCAGCAGTCACAGTCTGCGCTTCCACACTGACATCTTAAAATGAGAGCTTCTTCTGCTGTGTTATGAGGTGCTCAACTCTTTTGGAATAAAATGTGCACACAAGGCAGCCAGTCCCTCTGCAAGCCTGGTCTAGAAAGAAGCATTATTGAAGTCTCACCTTGCTGATCTCTGTCAGGGACATGGTGATGGAATAAAGTTGGCTCCTACTGGTACTGGCAATCAGAGTTTCCTCTGAGGGGCTGAAGCTCAAGCAGATAATTTCCTGTTTGTCAGACTGACTCGGGTCATTGCTTTGGGAGTCCACAGGAACCTGTACAATACACAAAGCAGTCATCAGTAATGCACTCACACTGTCAGTGTGTCCTCTGGCTTTCATAGATCTCTCACATACTCTGTTTAGAGATTTGTAGACCAACATGTTCTTGGGATCTCCTGAGATGTAGAAAATGACTTCACTTCTCTCTGGTATTTTGGTTTTAAATACACCTTTAAGAGATTCAACTCACATTCACTCACTGCCATCTAGCCATTTCTAACTCCATCAGGTTTCTGAAACAATAAATCTTAAGGGGAGGAGACTGCCCATCTCTCTTACTTGGAACTGCTGGTGGATTTGAACTGTTGTAGACCTGTGGCCTTTGTGGTTAGCAGCATAACACTCTCCAGACTATGCTAAAGAGAATATTTTTAGTGATTACTGTTATTATGTGCAACTGAGTCAGAGAGTAAATCCCACAGAAGGAGACTACCTATCTTTCTCCTGTGAAGTAGGTGGTGGAGTCAAACCGCTTTCTTTTGGGTTGACAGCACCACTTCTCATCTTGTAGACCACCAGAGCTCTTTTTAAGTGATTGTTGTTGTTGACTGCCTTTGAGTTGAGCATAATTCATAGCAACCCTAAGAACAAAAGGCCTGAAACCTCTCTACAATTATCAACATTTATCAAAGTTCATAGTTTCTAGAGGCATGTTTAGGAATTGGATGCTACTCCTGCTTCAAAACCTGTCATAGTATGTTTTTTGTTTTTATGTGCCATTGAGCCACCTGAGATGTATAGAGACCATATTAGTGGCTGGATGATAAATACTTACATAGTTAGTGTCTTACTTGGGTACACTGGGTGGAACTGCCCTAGATTTTTTATCATTAGTGAATTAAAACCTTTCCTGTTCTAGATTTTCTTTGAAAAAACATTTTTATACATTTTTTGTTGACATTAAAACACAAGGGCACACCCTCTCTGAGTTAGAGGAATGTATAAAAATACAAATCTATGCATCTTAACTTGAACACCCCCTGTAAATAAAGTCTGCTAAACCACCTATCGGAAGCATGTGCTGACCTGACATCAAATAAACAATATATTCTTCATAGCAGGAGAAGGGAAGGTAGGCATTGTTTTACTATACCAGGTAGATGGCAGAGTCTACAGTTTCTAAGTAGACATTTTAGAGTTCCTTTTCCCTGGGGTTCTCCCCCAACCCCCGCTGCTTTTTTATTATTTTCCATTAACAGCCAAATTTACTGGAAGGCTGGTCTGCACACACCATCTCTATTTCTTTACCACCCACTCAGTTCTTAATTCCTTATAATTTAGCTTCCACTGTGTTATTTACTGAAATTATCCCTGTGAGGAGCGGTAATTTCTTATCATGAAAGCCAGACACTGCTGTTCAGTCCTCATCCTTCTACTTTTCTAGTGCCTGTAAGCAGTGACAGCAATACCTGCTTTCCAAGAGTCCAGCTTCCCTTCCTGTGCCTAGAGGGCTTTGTCTTTAGCCCCTGACTCTTTACCACTGGGCTAACTCCCCTACTCCACCAAGAAAGTGCAGCTCTGGAAAGCCTCTCCATTACAGCCTTGAGTTTTTTTACCTCATCCAAATGCAAATCAGAATCCTAATCCCTGCTGTACCTGTAATCTCCTTTAGGAACAGTTATTAGAAGGCTAAGGAGTACATCCATACTCATGTAAGATGTATCTTAAATCGTATGTTGTTGTTATGTTCTGCAGAGTTGGAACTGACCCATAGCTGATCCTCCAGCAGGTTTACTGAGGCAGTTAATCGCACAGAAGGAGACTGCCCATCCTTTTCCTGCAGAGCAGGTGGTGGCCTAGAACCCCGTGCCTTCAGGATTACAGCACAGCTTCTTGCCACTAGGTCACCAGCACGCATATAAATTATAAAGTGGGCAGGTTAGAGACACATCACCAAGCACAATTAAAACAGTGGTTATGGAGTTAGAAACCACATGAAAACCATCAAGGAACTGAGGCACATCAGGGTTACAGAAGTGCAAAGAAAGGTAAAAGATCTTCTTGGCATCCTATGCCTCACTACCTTAACCACTGTTGTATACCTTTGAGTTGGAATGGATTCACAGCTGCTCCTCCTTCAGTAGGTTTTCAGAGACAGTAAACCAAATGGGAGGAGACTTCCCATTCTTCTCCTGCAGAGCAATTTGGTGGATTTGAACCATGCATCTTTGGGACTGCAACACAGTTCTTAGCACCTGGTCACCAGAACTCCCATTTTAACTACTATTTCATCTCAAACGGAAAAATTCAAAGCTCCCTACTTTGTCACCAGAGCTCCTTAAAAACATTACTCACTTTTTTTTTTTAAGTTCCATCAATCTTTTTCAATTCGCTTTGATATACTTCCCTCATTTTCTACTGCTATACTTTCTGCTGGTCTCTTCTTCAATCTTTTCATTGTTCTGGTTTGTAATATGCTTAGGTCTTGTTTCTGCATATGGTTCCTCCCATAAGTTGTACCAAAAGTATCCTGGGGTATATTTTTCTTCTTTGGCTTGAGGGCTTTTGGCTTTTTCATAGATAACTTATAAAGGTCATCTGATGCCAGATGAGTCCTTTTCAGATTCAGACCTAAGGAGGGTCCCATCTCTTCCAACTCAATTGTCTGTGTTCTGCAAACAGATTTCTTCAACAGCAACTTATAGCTTCGAAAATGAATCTTCCCATTCAGTGCAGTGAAGTGCAGAACATAGTTCAAACGACCAAGGTGGATTATTTGATATTGTGGGATCTCTAAAGAAATCAGTAAGAAGATTTTTTTTGGTCATCTATAGTCTTCAGTTACATCAAAATCATCACCAGCAAATATTAACATCGATTTTGCTCCCTCAGGACATTTGCTGTTCTTAATATCTTTGAGAGAGACAAATTTATCAATACCCAATTCAATCATATCTAGCATATGGTAGTCATACATACAACCTATTCCTAAATTATTTGGCAATTTCTTATAATGAGAGCCAAACATGAATAAAAGAATAATCTGATGTCCAGGAGAAGAATTCCAGTGATGTCTGATCCTCAAATGGCCTTGTGATATTTTTCCTGTTATACAGCACACCATAAAGGTTTTTCAGTGCATACACATCTCTTTTTTAAATTTATTTTTATTTTTTATTTTTATTGTATTATTTTTACGTGTACTGTCAAATCAGATCTGACTGGTACAGGAGGAGATTGCCTCCTCCTTCTCCAGCAGAGCATCTGGTGGATTTGAACAGCGTACTTCTGGGATTGCAGTACAGCGTCTTGCATACACATCTCTTAAGTACTTGTGTCACTGTTGCATTTGCATTTCCTCCTTTGATTAACATGGCATTTTTACTATTCTCGTTGAGTTTTGGTTCTCTCAAGCAATCTCTTGGCCCTCTTTGTTTTCAGCTTATTGATTATACTCTTCAGGGGGTTTAACCGTTTTCACCTTCCTTTTCTTTGTTATTCCTGCCCATTAGTACTGAGTATTCCATGGAATCATCCGGTCCAAAGCATCCATTTCTACCACAACCAAAGTTGGACAAACACACGTGCACCACGAGAGAACAGTACTCACTACCATCAAGTTGGTTCCAACTCATAATAACCCTGTAAATATATTTTTCCTTATTATTGTGATTTTAGTGAAAGTTTACAGATAGGTTTTCATTCACTGATTCACATTTTCCTCCCCAGCCCCAATTCACTTTGTAATGCATGTCTTGTTCCAAAGTCAATACCCATTCTCTATCATCCATTCCCTTTACATTGTCCCACCCCTCACCCATTCCTGTGTTCTTGTTAGGTGTCATCAAGTTGAGTATGACCCATAGCAAGCCCTATGAACAACAGAACTGAATCTTGTCCTTTCCAGTGACATCCTGATACTTCCTGACACACTAGAGCCCACTGCAGCAGTCACTGTGTCAAACCATCCCCTTGAGGGTCTTCCTCTCTTTTGCTAATTCTCTACTTTTCAAAGTCTGATGTCCCTCTACAAGGAATAGCTGCTCCTAGCAACATGCCCAAAGTCTGTGAGTTGAGACTTTATCATCTTTGCCTTGAAGGAGTACTCTGGCTGCACTTTCCCTAAGAGACATTTGTTTGTTCTTTTGGTAGTCTATGGGATGTTCAGTACTCTTCTCCAACATTACACCTCAAAGGCGTCAACTCTTCTGTCATCCTTTTTTATTGTTCAGCTTGCAGATGGCCTGAATCAGATACACCTTAGTCCTCAAACGGACATCATTCTATCTCAATAATTTGGAGAGGTCCCTGACTGTATACTTTTCCAGTGCATTACACTGCCTGATTTCCTGACTGCTGGTACCATGGGTTTTGATTGTGGATCCAAGTAAGATGAAGTTGTTAACAGTTTCAATCTTTTATCCATCTATCATGATATTGGCTATAAGTCAAGTGGTAAGAATTTTTGTTTTCTATACATTGAGATGTAATCCACATTGAAGGCTGTATTCTTTGATCTTCTGCAACAAGCGCCTCAAGTCCTCCTCACTTTCAGCAAGCAAAGTTGTGTAATCTGCATAATGCAGGTTACTGATAAATCTTCCTCCAATATTTATGCCACATTCTTTTTTCATAGAGTCCAGCTTCTCAAATAATTTGCTCAACATACAGATTAAATAGGTATGGAGAGAGGATACAACCTTGACACATTCTGTTCTTAATTTTAAACCATGTAGAAGTGTTCCCTTACTCTGTTTGCATAACAGCCTCTTGGTCTATGTATAGGTTTCAGTTGAGCATATTTAAGTGTTCTGGAACTCCCATTCTTCTCAATGCTGGCCATAACTTGTTATGATCCACACAGCAAATGCCTTTGCATAGTCAATAAAACATTCTTCTGGTATCCTCTACTTTCAGCCAGGATCCATCTGACATCAGCAATGATATCTCTGATGTCATGACCTCTTCTAAATCCTGCTTAAACTTCTGGCAGTTCCCTGTCTATATGCTGCTCTAGCCATTTTTTAAATGATGATATTCATGATATTGTTTGA